CCAACCACGGCTAACCCGTACCAACCACGGCTAACCCGTACCACGTCTCCTGCTCTCTCACCACAAGAGGTGCATTTACTGCTCACTGCTTTCTGTCACCATGTCCTGCCTGAAGTCACATTACCTCCTCAGAACATAGACAGATACTTGTTTAGGTTCACATTCCATTCAACTATTAGAGAAAAGGGTAATTTCAAAGCAATCCCAGTATAAAAAAGAATAATGATACTTTAATCTGTCTTTCCTTTTTTTTTTTTTTCTTGATGTTAATCTCTTTAGGTTGTCTTGTTTTTAGAATAAAAACGTAATGAAGGTATACTCATAGATGTGAATGGACTGGATATGCTAGTAGCTCTGCATGACAGTATCTCATTGCACTTCAGAAATTTTTGAAAACTAAAATGGCCATATCTGGTGAAACCCCTATGTGATTAGATGATAACCTCTCTCTCAATAATACTGAACACTAATGGAATGACAGTACTTACCGACAGTTTAATTTGCAAAAAGGGATTTTGGAGAATAAGGCAAGTGCTTAACATTCAGGAAAAAAAAATGTGAACTGTTTCTAATAAATTAATATTATTTTCCATATGCTTAGGAATAGAGAGCAGGGTGGGGTTTTTTAAAAAAACAAACAAACAAACAAACAAACAAAACCCAACTTTCCTTTTTTTATTTTTCCTCCAGCATTGAAGTATTGATCGAGGCAGCGCAAATCTTCTCAACTTTTCTTACAAATATTTTAATACTAAACCAGGTTAATTCAAGTTAAACACCTTAAAAGAGTTCACATTTCAGTGTTAAACCTGAATCAGACTTGGCCTCTTTACTATAGTTATAATATTTCTTGTCACAGAAAAATTTACTTGGTAAATCCATAGAATTCTCCTGCATTTAAATGTTTGGCAGTTTTCCAATTAATAACTTTTACTCCAATTTTTGCCCTAAGTTCCATATTAATTAAATTGAACGATATCACAATAAAAAGCAAGAGAAGTATGACTTCTGCATCATAATAAATACAGAGTATAGGTGAATGAAGAATAGAGTTATGCCTTTGGCTAGTCTGGAGCATTAGGATATGTAGTATCTCTTCATGTATTCTGGTAAAACAATTAATAGTTCTAACAAAATATAACACTGTTTTTGAAGAAGAGGCTAAACTACTATTAGCTTGCTAAAAACAACAGCAATTTTTCCTCTGAAGTTTTTTTTTTACCTTATAACCTTGTTTTCCTGGTTCACCAGACTCTCCTTTTGAACCTTTCTGTCCCTAAAATAAATGTAAAAACCAAAATAAATAAATACATAAATGGAGATTATTCTAAATTAAAATACTGGGTTTTGTGAAACTGACACAGACTCCTCAGAACAATCTTGCTGTTGGCTCTGCAATCCCCACTGGCCATGGCTTCCTCACCTATCTAGAGAACACCACTTATTAGGTATTGTGTTCAAGAAGATCTGCTCCTCGATCTAATAATGCTGCATTTCTAGGCACATTAGGATTTCTTCTTATATTACCCCATAACCATTTCCCCAGGCCAACAGTATTCCTAGAAACCAGCAAAGAATATGTTAAAAAAAAAAAATCTTAGAGAAAAATAAAACTCCAAAAGTGTTCATTTCAATTTAGTGTGTTATAGGTCTCCCAGGAAGAGAGAAAGAAGAAAAAAACCTAAGGATTTGGGGGAATATTTAGAGTTTCCAGAGTCAGATGCAAATGGGCCAGAAAGTGAGTGGAACAATCCTTCACATGCTCTAATCCTTTCAGGACCACACACAAATTTTACTCTGAAGATTACAGCAGCAGGAAGAGATTTCTACAACAAGAGGATATTTTGGCAGTCGGAAGTTGAAATAACTCTAAGCATCCACACTAATACAATGTATTTTTAAAATTAACAGTTAAATGCCCTTCTCTCAAGCCAGCAACTACCCTCCCTGGTGCTTTGGGACAGCACTGGTGTAAGGAATGCTTGAAAAAATGGATTCTCTTACCTTCATTCCCATTAAGCCAGCATGTCCTGGGCGGCCAGGTGGACAGGCATTGGGACACTGGAGAAACATCCACATAATTAGTACCACATAGGTTGAATAAGGTTGCCTGAGATTATTTTAAATGTGGACAACTATCTTACCAATGGGTCACCATCTTGCAGGCCAATTGTTCCCTAAATGAAATGAAATTAATCAAAGTCAGTAAAAGACAAATAACGAGACCTGACTCATTAGACAAAACAGAAAATGCTACTATCTGAAGTGGGAATCAGAAGCATAACCACCCAAAGCATCGCAAACATGGAAAGCACCTGAACTGTAGGATTTTTTTATAGGATTGCTGGTGCCTGTAAAATCCTGTCCTCTGACTAAGATGAACTTTTCTGAAAAGCAAAATATTTCTTTTGTTTTTTAAGCCACCTGAAATGTATTTTCTATTAAAAATAGAGCAAATATATCCAAAGCCCATGAATTTCCAACAAAACCCAAGACAATTTCTGTAATAAGGATAACTTTTACTTTTCCAACTAACTACCACTCAGCAAAAGGTCAGATCTTTACAGAGAAAAAAATCTTCCCACACCACAAGTACTGGTAGAGGAGTGAGATGTCTGGCAGTTAATGGAATTGCAATAAACTAGAGATCAGTGCACAATGAGATGGACTCAGTGGGGGGAAGAGCATTCCTCATATTAAATCAAACACTTGATGGAAGTTAATGGGGGGCTTATGAGGCACAACAGGGAAAAATACGATTTCACAGCAAGCAGCTGGATTCTGTAAAGCCCAATGGGAGACAGCACACTGTTTCAGACAGTGGAGTTAGAGTTTAAGGAATGAGCTGATCTCCTTTTATACAGAAGGATTTTTAAAAAGCTGAGGGTATGTTTGGGTCCATAATGTCATCAACTAGAGCAGGATTGTGGCACTTCAGAAATCTAAAAAAAATAAAACTATTGAGGAACAGGAGCAGCTTACGGCATTATTGAGAAGTCCTTTTTACTTGTTTCCTAAATACTCTTCTCCACTTTTCCATACACCTGATTTTACAATGCCTCTGCCAATTCTCTGGCAACTTTCATGAAAACAAGAAACATAGCACAGATAAAGCATCTGGATTCAGGGTCTGTCCAGCAAAGGAACAGTACAGCTTTTAAAAAGAGGTTAGTATGACATGTTTCCCAGTGGTTTGCATTTCACAGCACCCAGCCTTCGATGTGCCTGCCAAACACTCCGTTTTATCTCTCTGGGCAGGTAAATAGCCACAGGACAAAGGCGTCACACACACCCCTCCTCCCAAGAGGCTCAAAGAAGACAACCATTCCCCTGGAGAGGCACAGAACTGCTAAAGCTTTCTTCTACCCCTTGCGAGTAGCAGGCCTGGTTGCAAGAAAGACATTAGAACTTAGCCCACCTGGGAGCACGCTGACTTATGAGCCAAATATTAAATTTTTCTCCCCCTAGAGAAAAGTCTGCCTCTGCTGAAGTACTACTGGTGAAGGCCAACAAAGATTATATTTACAGTAAGACCAGAATGCACAGGGAAGTTTAATACCTGTAAATGTTACAGTTTAATTGCAAAAATGGGAAGACATCATGACAGAAGTTGCACAGTTTGCATTTTAAACTATCTTTTATAACTTCTTATATAACTTCTTTCTAAATGAAAGACCAAATGTTGATAGGATTAAATGAATTGTATTTCAGGCTTTGAACAGAAGCCTCTAGACATTATGAATTAATACATCCTGCTGAAATCCTAAAATTGGTATTCAATTCTAGGGCTGAGCTGTAGGACTTGAGGAGTAGTTTTGTTCAAGCAGCAACAATATATAATTCGGGCATTAGCACATATTAAAGGAAATCACTTACCCGAGGACCTGGTAGCCCTGGCAGCCCTGGTGGCCCTCTTTTTCCTGGATCTCCCTAAAAACAAGGTAATTTTCTTGATTCATGGTAATAATGAAAACAAGCAGTTACATATTCATATCAAACAACAACAGTGATAAATGAAGTAGCTACAGAACCTCAGCCTATGACATGGCTTCCATAGGAGAATGGGAGCCATGTTGTGGAATAAGAGTCACAAAAAATAAACAATTTTCAGGTACTTTAGAAAGCTGAAATATCTGACCACAGGATTATCTGTGCGCTCCTCTATCTCCTAGCTGCTAAGTTCTGAATTAAAAGAATCCTAGTAATTTGTAAAAAAGCATGCAGCGGAGAAAATCCCCTTTTCCAGAGCCCAAGATGAATTTACCAAGTTAGAAACTTCTGTTTGTGAAGTTTTGGTGCCCAGTGCTTTCAGAAGTAAAGACAACACAGAACCTCAGCAAATTATTTTTTTCTGAACGCTTTCAATTACAATAATTTTATTGTGACAGGGACCACCTCTTAACTTAATACTGTCATTTCAATATTATATTTGACATGTTATTAAATCAAAAATGAAATTAAAAGGATGAATATAGAAAAAATATTCACTAATTTTCACAATGCATAAATTATAGAGCCATATGTTTAAAAACACTGAAAAGGAATATTTCTTTTCCACACAATGAGTCCCACAATGTAATTACACCTTATCACAGTGTGTTGTGGAGGCCCATGATATAAATGTATTCAAAAAGGGATTGACTACATTAATGGAGGATAAGCTTATATATAACTTTGGAAAAAGGGAGAACAGATGCAATTTCTGATTCAGGCAGCCTCTGAACTGCCTATTGCCAGAATGTGAGACAGTATGACAGAAAAATACAATTTTACAAATAGCCTCTATACTTCCAAGGTATCCATTATTGTCCTTACTACAGACGAGACAGTGAGCTAGACAGATCATCTTCTGAAACAAATTGGCAGGCTTTAATATTCTTTTTTATATTTGTGTATATGACCAAGCATAATAGACGGGGAGAGGTATGCATTAAAAAGGAGGCTTCACTGAACAAAACTGCAATGCTATTTCAGACTTCAAGTAACAAATTAACAATTGCTTTCAATTTTCATGCCAGTGGTAAAGGATGGAGCCAAATGTGACAGTGTGCTGAAAATGCACAGTTTAGCAGTAAGGTCAGTAGGAGGAGTCACACTGAAAATGAGACTAAGAAGAAATACTGAATTGCCATGTTCACTGATTTGCATATGGAAAACAGAAATAGTATGTGTAGAAGTACCATAATGTGAGAAGACAGGAGGAAAGCTAAAGTTCTGCACATAGCGTTAAGTTTTACATTTCCTGTATTTCTGGCAGGTTTGCTTTTTGATTTCAGCTTTGCTTGAAAAAGAGGAGGAGTATGGAACACTATATGAAACATTTAATTCTAACCTAATGGGTGGCCCTGACTTTGTGATATTAATTGTTCCTTATTTTTTATAAGCTTCAAACACAATCTGTCCTCCACCAGCGATCACTGCAGAGGAAAATATATTTTCAAGTGCTGTTATATTCCAAATAGTGTTTAGATGGCACAGTAATTATTCATTTTTTTTCTATAAGTACCTTCTAGTAATTGAATAAATCTACATTTTCAGCAAACATAGTAGTACTTACAGGTGGACCAGCACGCCCTACTTCCCCAGGAAGTCCTGCTGCACCAGCTGGACCCTGTAATAACCAAGTTAAATAGTATTTTTAGGCTACACAATACCTCTATAACAAGCATCAAAGGAGTGAGAACATGTAATTCTCTCAAAAAACAAACTTTCAGAGCCTTCAGACACCAGTATTCTTGCTCTCTATACCATAGATCTAAGCAGCCTCAGCAGTAACTGAAGAAAGCATACATAATAGACACACAACATCAGGATTGAAACAGTCTCTTTTTTTTACTGAACTACTTTTCATAAGAGTATAATAGCTTTATTGAACATTTAAACAGATTCACGGAACCATCTATTTACAAATATTCAAAATTATACTTACAGGTGGTCCAAGAAGCCCTTTACCCTGTGAAATATGAAAAAAGGTCAGAAATGTGGGGAGGATTCCACACCTCTTTTCTGAGGTGCCAAGAACAGAGTATTTGGGATAAAAAACCTGATGTTTGATTCCACAAAATAATTTTGAAAACTTGTTTAACTAATGTCAAATGTTAATTTTGTTATTAGGTAATCAATATCAGCAGAAAAAATAAATTATTAAGTTGCCTTGCAGTAGCATTTATTTACACATATTTACAAACACATATACTTCCACAAAGCAATGAAGACATTAAAGTCTTTGGATTTTTCTAGTTATTAAGTACCATGAGAAACACACCCATGCTATAATAATTTCCTTCTAACAGTGCATTTAAATTGCTAATTAAAGAGATTTTGTTTTCTTTTTGCCAGTGCTTCCTCGAGGTCTAGATCCATTAAAATACTGCTTTTTGGTAATCAGAAAGACCACCAAACTGCTCCTGTTTACATTTTCAATCAGTTTCTGAATCATTTTAATGAGAAGTATCCAAGATACAAATATGTTTCTGCCTATTTGGACACAGGCCTAGGAGAAGGCAGTCCCCCACTTTGCCCCTTCCATTGCACCTCCTCACCCTGCTAATTAGGACTCCTAGAAGCAGGGGCTGTCCCCCAGCAATCCATGCCTCCCCCTTTCCCAGCTACTCCATCCTTCTGGCCATGAACTCCCTGCAAGCAGACCAAGCTCCAGAGTCGAGAGCTCCAGGGCAATTGACCAGTGAGGACCCACACAGAGCAGTTAGTGATCATCAATGTGGACCTACCGCCATCCACCACAAAGAGTCACAACTTTGGACCAACAATGGTCCAAAATCTTATCACATTTATTGCTTTTACAGTGTCAAAATAGTCACAAAAGACCTGTATCAGTTAAGTGCTGCTCTGACTGGAATCAGCATTCTACCCTGACAAATTGGTCCAGTTTGCTGCTTTCCCATAGTAACATCTCTGCTTCTAAGTCAAGATTAACCTTCTTCATGTATATTTTATATACCTACTTTTTCTGAAAGCTCTTAAATTATTCATTCTCACATTAGCCTGTTAATGGTGAGGTAAAATCATGTATATTTTCCCCAAGTCAGCTTTTATTTCAGTTGACAGGCTAAAATACTACAGTATTTTAACCTAGTATTTCAGTAATTCATTTTTAATTCCCCTTTTTTTTTCCTCTCCCTTAGTAGTTCTTTTCATATACACTTTTTCCCGTACCATCTGAGTAACATACCTGACAAGAGTTAAGCTATACCTTCATTTCAGATACACATTTTACAATGCAAACGACCCAGAAATTATATTCCCATTTACTTGACTGCAAAAAATTAAAATAAATCCCTCAAGCCCCTAACAGAAAAATGTAGGCCTTTCAGTCTACCTAGCAGCTACCTCAGTTCTGCTATTTTCTGTGACTAAATATAGTTCATATATTGAGTCTATAGATTGACCAGCCACTAGAAAAATATTACCTATTTTCCAGGTAGGAAACAGCATCCACGAAAATTAAATGCAAATGTCCACATAGAATGATTCAACTTAGACTTGAACATGTCTAGAATGTAACATCTTGAAGAATAACACTATAATTTCCTCTCTGACCAAGTATCAAAATTATAGTTTAATATAAATTTAATGGAAGTTAATGGGTCAGGGTCAAAAATACAAAGATTCAGTTGAAGATACAGAATTTCACATCAAGGTGTGTGATACCAGAATACAATGACTCTTCTGTTTAATTCCATTAATTTCTCCAAAAATAATCTAATTTTTAATTAAATTTTAATCATATGCAGCCCTATCATGCCGGCCATCTTGCTCCATTACTCATTTTCCTTGAGATTTTCACTGGTTTCCTATATAACCTAAGTATCTACATGCCAAGTATCGTTCACTTCTTCAGCCCTGTAAAATTCCTAAAATTCTCAATTATTTTCAGCACCCAAAGACAGATGTTAAACCCATCTACATGCCAACTGGAACAGTAATCTTTGCATGTTATTTCACATCTTTTTTTTTTGTTTTCATACAGGAACAGCACAAGTCCCATACGGCATTTACACTTCAGATATCCCATCTAAACACATGGCAAAGAGCTGAAACAGGAACAACTGTAGACTAATTTATGCAAATAAAACATGGCCTCTCCTGTCTCTACAACATTTTCACAAAGAGATGGAAAACAACCCTAGGCTTGTTTTCCAGAACTTGCAACCACATCACATGTACAAATCAAACATGTCCTTTCCGTAACATCTGCACACTTTGATATAAAGACAAAAAGGTTGCTTAACGTACTACTTTACTATTTTATGCATTCTTTGAAACCTCAGAAATAGCTTCTGACTTTTCTTCTCTTATCTTTAATGGGAAGAATCCTTCATATCGATATTGAAGGTCTAAAAAGCCTCTTCATATACTAAATGTATTACTTACTGGAAGTCCACGAGCACCTGGCAGTCCTGGCTCACCCTTTAAAGGCAAAAATGGAGATTTTCAAGAGGTATTAGCATAAACTTTTGTAAACATACTGGAAGATGCTCTCAACTTTTTGGAAGGTATCATTTAGTGGATATATTCTGCAAGTATTATTCACTTTATTAATGCTATGCTGCTTTCAATGAGACTTGGTAGAAAGGAAAAACTTTCTCAATATTTAAAAGATACAGCCTCAGGCCTTTCTTTCCCCCAGAAAACCTAACTCAAATATGCTGGTTACTCTGATATATATTTCATTTGGCACACTGCTGATGAAGTCAGGTTTCACTGTTCTGGTTCCCACTGCATATTACTATGCCATAATTACAGTACAGTAAGATGCAAAAAGCTTCACCATGACTGAAGATGCTCAACCTTAATGCCATCAATGTAATGCCACCACTCCTTACTGCGGGCTGGGGGAGTGGAAATTGCTTTGTACTGTGTGAAAAGGGCCCAATGGGTCTGTATTCCACAGATGTTTACATGGTTTTATATTTTAAGAAAGGCTGCAGCATCTCATTAATCCTACTTCACACCAAAAAAAAAAGAAGAAAAAAAACCAAACCCAAACGTAATTTCATGCATAATTTTGTTCTTACCTTCTGTCCTTTTGGCCCTGTGACTCCACGAGAGCCATCAGGTCCTGTGAATCCCTTTGGAAGTAATGTACACATGTTAATGCAAAGGTTATGTTGTTTTCGTATTCAGACAAGAGAACATTCTGAAACATAGAATAATGAAGCTATTAAATGAGATAAGTTACTGCAGGAGAACTACAATACCACACACAGATAGAACTGATAACAAATACCAGTGTGGTATGTGTCATTCAAAAATTATTCAGTAAAATCACTATTAAACTAAGCACATGATCTCACATGATCTTATATCCTCTCAATGGGAGATTGATGAATCTAGCTCATGGCTCAGGTTAAAAACAGCAAAGGTTAGTATTTTCCATGTCAAATAAATCATTCATTGACCAAAAAAAATAAATCAACAAAGCCTCCGGGCTGGATTTGAGGTTAGTCTTTGAATCACACTTGTCTATCTGGCTAAAATTAAAAAGCAATCATTATAACTATGAATACAGTCAGAGTTCTTTTGTTTTCTTTTGTTTCCAAAATTTTAATTAGCTTATATGGCTTAGAAAATTCCAGATATCCATAAGAAAAGCCTTGCTTTTACATTTGTCCAATACTTTTCTTTTTTGGTACACTTCCAGCAACTCAGTGTTCACCCAAAGGGATGTTTTCTCTGACAATTTGCTTTCAAAAGCTTACATGATCATTACAGGCAATTACTGCACAGTATCCTCACTCAGTCTATTAAACCTGACACTGAAATAGTCTGTGAAAGAAAAATGAGATTTAAAAAGTCAGAACTGCCTCACCAATTAGACATGGAAAAAGGTATTATAAATCTAAAACCCCAATTAAAAGTTGAATGCACAGTGGAAGGACAATAAGGTCCCATGTTTTGTCTTCCAGTGAGAATAAAAAAGGTTTTCCATCTGAGAATGCAGTAGTCTGTAATTGAGAATTACAGTGTCACTCATTCACTAATATGAGGGAATGTGCAAGTGCAAACAAATGTCAAAAGCTGAGCTCAGTTTAAAACATTCTGTTTGCCCTGATTGTGTTATCATGAATTCTGGCAAGGACACAAAACCATGCCCTAAGTGAAAATTAGAAGAGGCAATGATTTTTAAAGATCTGCTTATGGATCTTTGACATGTACAAATGGGTTTTGGACCTGTATTGTTTTTAGGAGAAAATGAAGCGGCATGAGATGCCACTCACATCAAGCCCATTTCCTCTTACAGATTTGAAATCTGAACAGTTTAACTAAAGACTTTTTCAGCTCCATGTCAACTAAGTCTCTTTTCAAAAGCACATTAAAAATGAACCTCTAACAGTATTGGAATTTTCAATAAATATTAGGATTTTTCATTTCTAAAATTTGCGAAATTCTCTAATATGTGGGTTTGTTGAATATAATCTTTATTTTTTATGTTTTAAACTACAAAAAGTATTCTACCATTTATGTAAATTAAACATAAGCTTGCCTACCTGCTGGCATAAGATCTAAGTACTAATGCAACCATCTTGCTTCATAGCAAGAAATGCTTTCAAACACTGTTCTTGAGAGAAATATGAAGAGTTTTCAAAAAACGTATGAAGGTGTTTTTATTGCCAGTAATTTATTCAAGAGATACAACCTAACAGGTCACCAACACTAGATGATGTTGAAACTTTATTCTTCTATATTATTTTCCACAGAGAAAGGAAGATACATCAGCAGGTACAGGCTCTGCAGTGGCTGAAGCCTGGGAGGTTGCTGGGTTTTTTTTAGAATCATAGAATAGTTTGGATCGGAAGGACCCTCCTGCCAGGCCTGTGCTTGGGTCCCCCCTCTTGGCTTTCCTGCATTTCGGGGCTTCCTGAGGCTGCTTCCAGAGGACACTGCCCTCTCCAGAGCAGGGGTGGCCTCATCGGACAGCCCTTGCTCTTTTCTTCAGCTGGCACCAAAAGAGCATCTTCCAGCTTGGAGAAAACTGCTGCTCCCCCATGTGTGCCACTGGCACTCACTGGCAGCTGCAAGGAAGCCAGAGACCTCAAAAGGAGGTTATGCTTCTCCAGCAATAGACTAAACCCAAGTATTTTTCAAAAAAAAAAAAAAAAAAGGAAATTAAAGAAATCAAGAAATCAAGTGTGTACTCACATCAGCTCCTGGCTCTCCAGGCAGGCCAGGGGATCCTGGTTTGCCTGCATCCCCATCTGGACCCTTCAAGATTCAAATGGGCAATTAAGCATGTTTCAGAGAGGGAAGCAGAAACAAAACTCAAAACCTCTTCTCTCGCAGGGGCAAATGCAAAGTAGCTGAAATCACTTACCGGTGGACCAGGGGGGCCGTTCGGACCTCTCTCCCCCTAACAAGATATGAAAAGGATGGTATTAGTCAGAGCTACAGTGACCTTTTATGGTCCCTTCTGAAAAACACTGATTTGCAGATTATCAGGAGTAATCCCAAACTGATTCTTATTGTAGGAAATTAATATTAAACCCAAATGATCTCTGTTATAGACAGAAATAATCACAGAAACTTCTGACAGGAACTGGAGGAAAATACATAGTCGTTCCTACCAGGAATAACGCCACAAATCCTTGTCGTGCTTAACTATGCGTGAAACTACGTAATCCCATTTGATATTAGAATTATAAATCCCCTCCACCCCATTACAGGCAAACAATCATAGCATATAATGCTGATTACATAAAATAATCTTGTATTTCCCGTAACAGAGATAAACTGAAAGGCTACCTTCTCCCCCTGCCCCAGCCTGCTACAGAACACAAGACCTATCAATTCCTATGTGGATCTGCAGCAAAATTCTAACTCCTCCAGGTCAAATACTGACAGTGAGGACTTGAAGTATTTTCTGTTCCCTAGGCAGGGCATGGGAAACACTTACATCTATGCCATCAATACCAGGAACTCCTGGTGGCCCCGGCGGACCCGGGGGGCCTGGTGGACCGGGGAGACCTCTCTGACAAAGAAAAAAAAGAAAAAAAAGAGGCAATTAGATCCTGGCAGACCTCCCAGGGCCAGTTGGGGGGGACCAGCACAATGAGGGCTAGGTGGGGGAGGCTCAACTCCCTGACCCAGCAGGATCTGAACAGCAAATGGCAACGACAGGGTGGCAGAAATTTTGAGTGATCTTTGCAAACCAAACACTGAAATGTACTAAGGTATTATAATTAGTCATTCAGCCAATGCAAAGGAGACAGTCTTCCTAAGAAGAAAATGTAAAACAACCCTTTCCCTGCTTCACTGCCAGGCCCTGCGGTTTCCCCTCTCCTCAGGACTGCACTGGCATCTACCGAGGCACACTCTCACAGCACCGGGTCCCCTGGGGGAGGCGGGAGGCGCCACCGGCCTGTGGAAACGGAGAGAAGGGCTTTTACAGGTCTCGGTCCCTATAATGGGGGGCTCTGTTCTCCTTGAAGCGAGCCCTGGCCATGGCCCCACAATGGTGCTTTGTGAGCAGGCGGCTGGCCCAGCAGGGTCCTGAGCTTGGCCCTTGCTCCCCCCGGCACGGCTGCTTCAGACACCTTTCCCCCCCACACCAGTCCTCCCAGTCACAATCCGCCCAACGGTAGTTGTAGATGGAGCTCAAGCCCCACCATCTCACCAGGTGCCTGCTTAATGCCCACTAGGCAGCATCACAGAAACACAGAATCGTCTGGGCTGGACGGGACCTAAATTTAGGACCATCGAGTCCAACCATTAACCTAGCACTGCCAACTCCACCGCTAACCCACCTCCCTAAGCACCACGTCTACCCGTCCTTTAAATACCTCCAGCTGTGACCATTTAACTTCCCCAGGCAGCCTGTTCCAATGTTCGATGACCCCTTTCTGTGAGGAAATTTTTCCAAACATCCAACCTAAACCTTCCCTGGCACAACTTGAGGCCATCTCTGCCCGTCCCACCTACAGGCACAGGCGCACGGCCGTCAGCCTGCCCTGGCCAGGAGCGCAGCAGGGGCAGCCACCGCCACTGAGGGGGGGAACGGGCCGGAGCCCCTCCGGCGGGTCGGTGCCGGGGCACGGGACCGGGGCCCCTCCGGCGGGTCGGTGCCGGGGCAGGGCAGAGTGCGGCCTGCAGGCCCCCCTCACCCGCCCCCTTCCCCTGGGCACGGAGAGCCACCCCTTCCCTCACACTTACCTCGATTACCGTCTGGCTGATCTGCGAAGGAGAAAAAACAGAGTCAAAACTCGGAATGAACTTACTTGAGCCAGACAGAGGCAAACAACCTGCAGGAAAAGCCCCGGCAGCCAGAGGCCGCGCAGAGCCGGGGCCATGGCGATGGGGGGGACCGGCCGGCGGCGGCTGGGGCGGGCGGCTGCCGAAAGGTGGGCCCGGCGGCTGCAGCCCCTCAAGGCGGCGGGCGAACGCCTCGGGGGAGGGTCGCGGGGACTGGGGGAAGGCTGAAGGCTGGGAAGGGGAGGACTGAATGCCAGAAGGCAGCGCCTTAACCCTTTGCCCTGCTGCTGTTCTGGTGGGCACCCACCCCCGCCTGCCCACCGCCCCCGCCACGGGTTCCCCGCCGTCGGGCTCCCCGCTGAGGCGGCGGCCGCCAAAACCCCCGGGCGAGGCAGAGCCGCCGGCCGCCTGCCCCGGGAGTGGCTGTGGGGGGGTGAGAACGTCAGTCACGGAAGGGTTAAAATGAGGCGGCTGCTCTGGGGAGGGGTGGGTTGCTAAAGGGACCCAATTCCAGGCAGGTATGGTAAAAACAGGCGTTTGGGGCCAGAAATGGAGAGTAAGAGCGAGTGTCCCGCGGGCGGGGTCGGGGGCTCACCCGGGCCGGCAGCTCCCCGCAGCCTTCGCGCTGGGGCCGCAGCGGGTCGCAGTGAATCACCATCCACTGGATCTCGAACTGGCAAAGGAGACAAAAATCAGGTTAATGCAGGTCGGGGGGGTGACACTGGTGCGACAGGAGGGTCGGACGGTGGGTGTTATTTAATGACAGGAGCCGGGTCTGTGCGGGAGAGCTCATCCCGCAGCTCGGCTGCCCCCGGGCTCCCCCGCACCGTCCGGATAACACACACCTGGGACATGTCACACCTTCCTCTGCTCCGAACGCTGGTGTTTGGCGCTGGGAACCAACACAGGATTAATGCAAACCTCTTCTCAGAAGCTGCAACTGAAACTTGATGCGCTATATTGATTTAAAAATATACCCTCTGCAGAAAATTACTGAATAGGTCAAACATACAGCTTCAGAGGTATAGCCATTGATATATAATGCATCACGTGGAATTTTAAGTACCAGAAGTGTATTAAATCGTGCATATTTATTGTACCTAGGGTTTAAAGTCTTGGGTTGTTTTCCCTTCCCATCACACATAGCTTGGTTTATGAACCACTAATGAATGCTTTCTCCAGAGATTTCTCTGTTTGATGATAAAATTCAGAGGCTTCTATTCCTTTCTTTTCATTATAGATGGCTGAGGAGTTAGAGGGGGGAAGAAAGGTTTGGGGTTTTTTTTCTTATTACAACATAGAGCCCCGGTATTGAAAAGACTCTGACCTCATTTTTCTGAGAAGCTAAAAATAGAAGTGAGTGTCAGGGGGCTTTCACTTCTTATTTCTTTGCTTCTCTGAGCCTTTCTTCTTATTCTGTTGAGGTAAAGTGACTCGCTGCCATCCCTCCCACTATATAATGTCTCGGTGCTGCCTGGCTGCCTTCTGTGTTCCCTCTGGGATATCTCATTGCTCTCTGCAGTCCCAACCCATAACTGATGCGAAAGGCAGTCATTCTGAGATGCTTTCCCCTCCTGCCACCATCCTTAAATTGACTTACTTGCATACCAACTACTAGAGCTAATAAAGGCTTGGAGTCTGAAGTCAGAGTGTCCAGAGTGCTGAGACAGAGCACAGGAGGCAGTACCCTCCTCTCTTTTACCTCTTGTCTGACACAACTGTCTGTGAGGCAACTCTCTACCTCCTTTATCCAGTTCTCGTTTTAAAACCTCTCCCAGTCCTTAGTAATAGACAACTGAATGTCATAATATACATATAAAAGAACTGAATGTATCCTGTAATGTAAATACTACAAGGCAGCAATACAATAATAAAAATAAAAGACTATCCAGAATCTGAAGATGAGGATTCTTAAAAAGGCATAAGAATGGGATCCAATGATACCTGTATGATAATCTGTTTCTTACTGTACATCTAGAGTCTAAGTTCTGAGTGTCTACATTATTCACCTCTAAAATTCCCTTGCAGAGGGAAAGAGGTCCATAACCGGCTCTAAAGCATTTTATAATCTATTTCTGATTTAAATAATAGTTTATTTCTGATTTAAATTAAAATAGATACGGTTTTAAGTGACAGAATTTCTACCTTTTCAGTTTTACTGTTTAATAGCAAATTAAAAGTATAATAAACAATATTAAAATTTAAAATTAAAACAATATTAAAATTTAAAAGCCATTCATTCAGTACAAACATCATCTGTATGTAATCTGAAATCGTGTGATTCCACATTTCTTTCCTCAGAACACCTCCCTCATTCACAAGACCGAATGAGCGAGGCCATGGAAATAGTTCCCATACTGCAGAAACTGTAAGTTTGGAAGTAAATGAGGCAAAAGAGAAGATGTCATTGTGGAAAGGGCAGAGATGCCACTGAATGAGCCTGCTTTTGCATCACAATTCTTACATAGTACTGAGAAACTGTTTAAGTCAACATAGCTACATTAGAGGGCATTCTGCATGGGGCAGGAGGAGGGAACTGGATGCCTCAAATGGAGTATCTGGGTACAGGTTATGCAAAAGGGCTGATCAGTAACAGCTGTAACTGAAATTAATGGTCTTGAGCTGTGCTTTCAACTTTAGACATGGTACAAAATCGTAAACACTGAAAAAATTACTTTTAAGACTTACTACCAGCAGCCAAAATCTGCATCAGCACATTCTGGGGTTTTTATGTAGATAATCATTGCCTCTTTTTTGTCTTTTTGTGTGTATGTGTCCGGTATTGGCTTCTGCATACTAAGGTGAGAAAAATTTTAGGTGATAAAACATCTTTTAAGTTTGTTTTGTTCAAGATGGGATTTGAGTTTTGAGCATTCAGCAAGGGCTGGTATCTCAGGAGTTTAAAACACACAAAAGACATCTGAATAAATGAGGCAGGCATCCTATGCAGAAAAAACACCTAGCTTTATTTACAAAACACTGTGCCATAATGTGAATGTAAAAGGAGTTGAAATAATTTAAACATCAGTTTTAATTTAACATTTCTTAGTTCCCAGTTGTTTAGTCAGGCAGCATTATTTTTTTAAAAAATAAACTGTGGTTTCTCTGTAAATTTCTTGCTTAGAGCTTTTGTTACTGTTCTGAGGCTATGTAAAGTAAAAATTGAGATGAAGCCTGTCTGACTTTTGAAAATGAAAAATAAAACTCTTTTGTTGGCAAGATAGTAAGAGGTGTTACTGGCCTCCCACTGATTTAGGAGACATGAGAGAAGGGCAAATATGTCCTAGCCTTGCTGTCAAGATACCTTTTTCCTCACCGGTGTTTCACAATGATCTCGTTGATTGTGTTAAGCTGATTTAAAGGACGACACTATTTGGAAGATGTCTCATGTAGATGTTCTATTGATACCAATACAAAGTGGTACTAAGGATGAAGTACAAAGTTCTGACAAAGTTCTCAGAAATTAACCTCAGATAAATCAGGGGTAATCATAAATAAAAGTTATTAAAATGTAAACTTTTAAGACTTATAGGTGTTTAAGACCCATAGGTCGATATTTCTGACATCTGTTTTCCAAGATTCCTACAGGATTTCCGTTTCACAGATAGAATTGAACTAGCTGTGTCTCTCTCTTCACTGTCTCCATGTGCCCCGCGGGGCTCTTGCTGCCTGGGGGATGACTCAAGGGAATACATCCCTTCAGGAGAAGCCCAGTTCAGGTAAGCTACTTTCAGGTGAAGGTAATCAAATAATAAAATCCCTGAGGTTTTTCATATTCAGTTTTCTTTGTTGAAGGGGCACAAAAGCATTCAGTGTTTACCCTGTGTCACCCCCAATGTTATTTTCTCCGCCAAAACAACTCTTCTTGCAGTGCAGTAGCTGAAGAGGGTATTTTCGGCATTAAATCCCCTAACAGGATATAGAATAAGCATTTCACTGACTACTCTGGCTACACAGAAGTAACATTTCACAGTGAGTTTAGGCGTCTACTGCAATACACAGGGGAAGTTAAGTATCTATCAAAGGGATTGATGGCAGCCGTGGTATGGGGGTGGGATGTCCTGAGCTAGCCAGGAGAAGGTATTGTGGAAATGACTGGCCTTTATGTCTCAGCTCTGCTGGGCCCTGTGCTTGGGTTGGATTTAGTCTCTGATGCTACACTTATCTCTCCTAGGATTCATAAACAAAAACCTGCTTTAAGAGTTCACTGTCTATTCCAGATCAGTCTTTTTCAAAGAACTCAAGCTAATTCAAGAGGAAAAGTGACTGTTAACGTGATCATATCAGGTAGCACAACGAGATTAGAACAATCTCCTTAGGTATAAGATACTCTGATTTAGTGCTGAGATTTAAACATGGGTCTGGTTTTTCCTTGTGAACATTAGAGTAGATCAAAAAGGACCTCCATCAATCTCCCTGACAAGAGATATTTCCTTTGTATTAATGGTTGAAAATATCTCTAGCTGATGGTCAGTGCATGCGTGTGAGAGAGGGGGCCCAGTTCTTGCTCAATGAATGTTTTGCTCTCTTTGGTGGCAGGTGCAGCCCACAAATCCATGTCCTGAGGACGTCCTTTTAGACCAAGCTCCCATACAAGATAAGCAGAGGAACACCCAACTGATACATCCAGATGGAGCAGAATCCAGTAACAGAAGCGTGGATATCTGAGAAAGTTCAATTGTACATGATCTGGGTCATCTCTTACCTTACACAATATATATATGTGCAAAATTTAAAAAGCAAAGCTAGTACTTACCTGCCAAGGATTTGGTATTTTCTGCCATTTCTGCTTCCAGAAAACATTTGAAGATGCATTCCACAAAAAAAATTCTAAGTATAAAGATCCTGTAAAGCACTTTTTGCAGTAATAAATATTTTGGAACTTACCGGAACTGAAATTTCAGGATTATTTTTAAGTTTTCCAAGCACAGCGAAACCATCAACGCTGATTTTCCCTTTTGGTTTTATGTTTAAGGTTTCTATTTTAATACAGTCAATAAAAAGTGTGACACTGTTTGTTTCCACACTTATCATAAGCTTGTGCCATTGGGAGTCAAACAAGAAAGGCAAATGCAAAAATGATGCAGTTTGGAGACTTCCATCCACTCCTTTATAAGAAAACTCCACACTTTTCATTTGACCATTAAGATTCACTCCAACTTGTTCGTTCCCTGAAGAATCCTGAATCTGCCAAATAGTCCAGTATTTCTGAAGTGTGGCCCCAGTCATCCGAAAAGTAGTTAGAAAGGAATATTCATCGGGCAATCCATTGGAATATATGGCACTGTGTAGGATCAAAATACAGTATATTTGTTATATATTTGTTCTGAAAAGCTCTACATATCACCACAGGGTAAAGAGGAACAGTTATGCAATGGAAACGTATCTCAACCATGTTTTTATCAGTGCTCTTCTGCATGCAGAGTCCCAAAATGGGATGTCCTTTTGAGTCATTGTTGTTGCTAATGGCAAAAGGAACTGCTTCAGAATGTGGGTTTTTCCAACATAGTACAACATTTATGAGAACCTTTCTCAGTGTAATGGATGGAGCAACTAACAGTCTCCTACTTCACATTTAGAAAGTATAACCTAAAATTATGCTGTTTCCTACTCTTAGACTTAGAAAACCAGTCAACATAGTGTGATTTTACAATTGGCCAGGTAGATAGTGCAGATCTTATTTGGTTTTGAAAACGTAATAATGTCTTTTGCAAATGCAGTTTTTTGTTCAGCCTGACAATAGCCAGTTTGTTAATGTATTACCTATTAGTTCAGCAGAAATCATTCAACAAATCATTCATAGACAAATATATGAATAGTAAGAATCCACACTAAAAATTTATTATGTCCTGCAACGTTCAACCACAAGACTATAAGTAGCAGGGAACATATTTGCCATATATAAAATGTTTCATTATTTTGTAATTCCTATAACATGAGATTTGGAAACCCAAACAAGTACTACTGGCTGTGTTGCTGTGCAAAACATTTTTTATATCAAGTATGTCAGATTTTAAAAATATGCCTTTTCATATTCTATGAGTTGTTAAATTGTAGTGTCATGATCCGGTTGACACCAACACATTATTTGCCATCTATCCACATTTAAGAATAGGTTGTATTTGAATAAATTTATTAAGTATGGAGACATGCAGGGCTACTTTGTCACTAGCTTTCATTAGAATAACTTCTCAGATAAGTTTGCATTTTGAACAAAGATTGTTTATGAGTGGCAGATCAATCCTATCTCAGCACAAATTTAGCCGTCATTAGTGAATCTCAGGCCTTAGGCTAAGGGGGAAAAAAAGGGGGGGGAGGGGAGTGGAATAAATTAATTCTTATTCTGTATGCTTGATAACTACTGATTAAGGAAAAGAGTACTTCTAGATAAAGCCTCCAGAGTTTGTAGGTTGATGTGTCAGTGTCCAAAGCTGTAGTGCAGTCACATTCCAGCAGGCGACGGCACAGCCTCAGCGAGACCCCAGTAAGGACCAGGGAGAGGCTGGCAGCAGCAGCGGCAGCTTTGGCTTATTCATAAACTACCCAGGCTGCTGCTCTTTCTCATTTTTTCCCACAAGCCTTTACATACACCTGAAAGCTGGCGTATGGGGAAGAGAAATTTCATTATGCGAGGTGTGGAGACACAAAGGGGGAAGAGGAGGTTCCTTTCCATTATCTTTAAAATGCAATTTGCTATGACTTGTGTCTCTGCTGACCGCAGATGCAGTAGTCTGTCCCAGCTGCCTTTATCTGATCAGACTTTATCTAACTTGTTGTGTTATTTTATCGTTTTGTTTCAGTTTGTATCTTGTCATCTTAAAATGCATGGACACTGCACCTTTCCTCCTGTTCTGAGTCCACTGTATGCTACAGTTCCCTGTCCTTTTTTGTAGGTTTCTAGCTGACATGATATATTTATATATTATTTCCTGCTCCAGGAACTCTCTCCCTCTCCCCATCCAGACACATTAGACACTTAGTAAGCTCCTGATCCAATTCAGGGTCTTTTATAGCCCTCTGTGTTCCTCTTCCTCCATAATATCTCTTAAGCAAGTATTTCTATGTCCTCTGCTGCTAAAACCTTAGCTCCTCTGAGTCATTTATCCCTTCATGTGCTGAATCCCACTGTTCGTTCTTGCACAACAGCTGGTTTTACTACAACCCTATTGAAGGAGGCACTGTTAAGTAATCTCTTAACTAGGTGTCCAGGTGACATCCCACTTGATCAAGTTCAGTAACTCTAGGGAATCTGATGTGCTGAGCTCTGCAGCGAAAGGCAGCATTGCTGACCCCAGAGCCTCTGAGGAGAGGTTTTCATTCTTTCTCTGCACTGATAAATTTCACTGTCATGGTTAAAATGTCACACACATTCTCACCCCACCTCATCTGACATAACTATACTGGGAAAAAACCCCAAGCAAATAGCCAAAAATACTAGTAAATATACACTTTTCAATTAGAAAATTGCCTATACCAGATTGGTAACAGGATTCGTTACACCATATTAAGCTATAGCATTAGTCCTTTACAAGCCATCATATGGGTCCTCCTTTTTTTTCAGAAATTTAAATGGAAAAGAAATATGTGAACTTTTTCAAGTGATATACAAAGAAGAGAAACTGTGTAAGAGATTCTGACGTTATTAAGAGAAAAATAAATTATAAGACATACAGACAGTAAAGAAAAAAAATCAGTGCACAAATATGGACAAATATTTAAATTATTAAAAACTTTTAATAACCAATCAGAAGTACTTCTGCCTTTGGACTAAAGACTCAGTAGCAGTAAGGCGACTTAACATAATGAAGCACAGCACGACCCATTGCCAGAAATGTACTCTGCAGGGGCCTGCTACTGTGAAAGATTTATACCTATAATTACACAAGTGAAGCAGAGAGAGATTCTCATCTCAGCTACTCGAACAGTAATGAAAAGCAATTTCATTGGCTTTAGCAGTGTTTGTGTATTTCAGTTCAGTACACAGCTTTTCCCAAAGCCTGTGATCTTTACATAGGCAAAAACCCTACTGAAGTCAGCAGCTTAAAATGCTAAATATAAACTAGGGCAAATTTAGCAATAAACAATTATAGAGAAGTTATTCCTTCATGTTACTGCAAAGTGAAGAGTGCTGGATTCTGTAACCTTCTTGAACAGCCGATAGCTATATAAGCACTTAAACTATTTACATAAGTTATTTTTAACATACATGTTTGCAATTGCACTGATTTATGGAAGGAAATCAAGCCATTTTAAATTTAGAATCAGGCAGATGAGCGAAGGAAGAATTACTATGCATAATTATTTCAAGAACACAGGCCAAATTCAGTCCTGATCCATTTCCTACCCACTTAAAATTGCCAGGGATATAAGCCATCAGACTTTTTTTTAATTCATTTTTCTGTCTTAAGTTTGTGAGATAGCTGTCTAGTCCTGCTTTCCTTGTGTACTCAGACTATTGTAACTGCTTTATGTGTGAAATGAGTGCAAGATCAGGTATTTTTTCAGATATTTGAGTCCTTGCTTAAGTTTTTTACGTACAGTTGGGAGGTGGGGTGTAAAACATTTGTAATTCATCTAAGGGAACTTCTGAAACACTATTGTTTTCTTTTAATCCTTTTCATAAATACCTAAAAGTCTTATTTATCCCATAGCTTGGGTGCTTGCCAAGAAGACTTCTTTAAGATTTCAAGGCTAAATCCTACCAAGACATCAATATAGCCAAGATAAATCATCTAAGTGAGCAGTGGAAACCCTGAATAGTCCCAATGACTTCAGGATTCACCAACAGCAGCGAGTATTTTAAAAGATTAATTATGTATTGATTTGAATATTACAAAATAACTGCTTATTTTCTTAAACCTGTTTCTTTGCAAGGCATAAGCTATTGCTACAGAAAAACACGCCTATGTCAGCCGCCCAGCTGAGGAAAACACTGCTGCCTATTTTTTCCAAGCTCATTTAAGTTTTGCCTCACCCATCTCCTGGAGAAACAGGAGCTCGGACCGTGGAGGCAGGAACCCGGGGTGCGCGCCCTCC